TTGGTTCCCCGTCTGCCTTATAATCTGGCCAATTTGGTGACCTGCTCACTTGGCCTGATGAAGCTTTTGTGTCAAAAGCGAAACGTTGCCCAAATAAAAACCATCGATTGTTAACCAAGCTCTTCTGAAACACTTAAGTTTGTTCATGTTTAGACCCCGTTGCGCATTATTATTCTTGGGGGTGCTGAAAAAATATAATGGTTCAGCTGTAGCACCTTTCGGTGCCTAACTGCCAATGCACCAGAGGGAAGCACGAGGGCTTGGATACTGCCAGCTTACCCAAGCCTAGACAGGTCGGATTCGAACCACGGACCTTCCGGTCAGTAAATTCGCACTCTAACCACTGAGGCATCTCGCCACCCGAGCTGTCTGGAACCTATTTGTGCCGGTCTCATCTTTGTTTTTCCGACAAGGGATTTTGTTCAAATAAGTCTGGATAACTGCAATTCAGATGTCATTGTCACACGATGATGACGATGACTCCCAAAGGATGAGACAACTAGAATGCAGTAACCGAGTTGACAGAAGAAATTAGACACGAGTAAAAAACGTGTTTGCGACTCAATCAGCTAAAAAGATAGAAACGGTGAGAAACGAGGTGCGCATGGAACCCAGGAAAATAAATACCTTGTCTTTTGGTGTTACGGACAGACAACGGAGGAAAGCATTCAGTGTCTTCTCCATGGCCTGAACTCGGGTGGTAACCCACGGGCCAGAGTCGGGAAGACTGACAAAACGCCGGGCCTCTTTGACAAGTTTCTGTATCCTGTATCGGGAATATGAAAAAAAAACAGTGTACGGGGATGAAAAACTGTTTGGTTGTCGGTCTATCTGCGGAGCTTGGCAGCTGGGGGGCAAACAAGAGGGGGGATAAGGGCGCGATTTTCTGGACCGTGGTTCGAACCCAACCTCTGCATGTCGACTGCTCCCGTCTAGGATTGAGCAACCTAACGATGTCTCCGTTCACATGCTTCCGTCGGGTGGCATGGCGATTGGGCATCGGGTGTTACAGCAAGACCAATCGAAGTGACATTGTCAGTGTGGAGATGAGTGGGTGGATGGAAAACGTCCTGTTCTGGACTGAGTGGCCGTACGGAACCTCAGACTTCGGAGAAGAGACTAGATACACGATTGGACTGGGAAGAACCCGTAAGATACAACGAATACCACAAAACGTGGCCGAGTGAGTCATCCCGAAGAGCAAGACAGCTATTTGGATGTCTCGTCCGTCAGGTAGTCCACACAGATGGCGTGGTACGAAGAGAAAATGGCTAGAAATCAGTTCTGGTAACAATGGAGGATTATGCAAACAGCTACATGCGCTCCTGATTGGTTGTCGTTCAGCTGTAACACCCTTTCGGTGTCTAGTTGCCATGCGACCTGACAGAAACACGAGGTTGCCCAAGTCTAGACAGGAGAAGTCGAGAGGCAGATGTCGGGTTCGAACCACGGACCTTCCGGTCAGTAGATTCGCGATCTAACCATTTGGGCCATCTCAACCCCGTGACAATTCCGAATTAAAGCCAGCGTTGGATCGAGATGCACCAAGGGTGGGTGTTTAAAAGTGCCACACATAACTAAATGTTGCTGAAGGACACAAACTGCGAAGCGCCGGCATCCCTACTGCGTTCAGCTGTAGCAGCCTTCCGGTGCCTAGCTGCCATGCCACCCGAAGGAAGCACGAGGGCTAGGATACTGCCAGGTTGCCCAAGTCTAGACAGGAGAAGTCGAGAGGCAGTGGTCGGGTTCGAACCACGGACCTTCCGGTCAGTAGATTCGCGATCTAACCACTTGGGCCATCTCAACCCCGTGACAATTCCGAATTAAAGCCAGCGTTGGATCGAGATGCACCAAGGGTGGGTGTTTAAAAGTGCCACACATAACTAAATGTTGCTGAAGGACACAAACTGCGAAGCGCCGGCATCCCTTGGTTGTCGAGATCCCCCCGCCACCATAATTTCCACGTTTGCAAACAGTCGGAGACTGATTACTTCCTAGCGAAATTAGCATCGACACTTTCGGTGTGGAATACCAAAAGGTGAGCATATTTGATCCACCTCAAATTTGGACCGAAACTCAGATGATGGCGGTGTGTTAGTGTGCAATCCCTTCGGAAATCATGGCGTTTGATTATGTGAGATCGATTTCAGTCCGGCTAGAGGTCATCCCAGATCAAGTAGGAAGCACAAAAGCAGAAGTACGAAGAATGAGGACCTGGGCAGAGTGACTGAAGACGAATCGGAAGGACAAGCGCAGATTTTATCAACATTCGATAGACGGGGTGTAGTGTGATTCACGTTGTCTTATGCATCAGAAACAGGCCTTTAAGCGAGGAAGATATGAGCAATACCTCGATATTTTATCGCCAGTGTCTCCGAAACGTCATTTGGGTTGAGCGGCTACAATGCACCGTACAGTGTTGGGTTGAAGACAGAGTTTATATTGCGGCAGTACGATCGATGCTGCTTTATGGATCAGAGACGTGATCTCTACGCACAGAGGACATACGAAAGATGTCAGTGTATGAACATCGGTGTCTCCGATGCACCGATCGAGTCTGGTGGAAACATCGGATGGCTCTAGGATCAGCCACTCACGCTTCACAGGTTGTGCTGGTTAGGGGACATGTAGTCCGCATGCCAAAAGAACGTCTGCCTCGCACGGTTCTTTTTGCCCAGCCCTCTACTGAGTAGAAGCGACCAAGAGGTGGACAGTGTATGACCTGGAAACGAAGTACGAAAACATTAATCAGTAAACTTAGTCGGGTGGGCAACTGCCACTTTCCTGGATGGGGACCCCGGGACTCAAATCACAAATGGTTAATGACATTGGCAAACGTGGCCCAATTGCGCAGCCAGTGGCGCTAATGCGTCCAAGCTATCGCCTTCAAAGTCAAATCGGCGCTTTGAACCACAAGGAGTGGTATTCATTGTCAGACAGTACTGACCACAAACTGAATCTCACGGGACCCAACTGGAGTGGTACTTGTTGGGAGGGATGGTCGCTATTGGGGAGTATCTCGAGATCATTGTATTTCGTGGTGGGATACGATGCAATGCAGGTCCCTTCTACGGAGGGACCACCAGATTTGGTCAAGTAAGGGGTCTCTTCAAGAGAAGCGAGAGAAAGGAAGTGCCTGTAGAACCCCATTCACAGAGGTTTTCCGTATCAGATTCAGATTTTAGATTCTCTCAAAGAGAACGAATGCGGTCTACTACTGACAAGAGACCGTAAGCAAAAATCATTCAACATTCGATTCAAACGGACAGCAAGCAATCAAACTCACTGGGACCGGTTTGGAGACTCTGGAATGGTGGACTTCAGTTGTTCCAGTTCCTTGGAGAATTGTGCGGCTCTAGAAAGATAGAAGAAGCGAAGCGATAGGTTGGGGAACACACAGCGGTTGAAACTGAAGGTTCGAAACTCCTCTACTTTTCGTAGTTTACCTCTGATTCATGCGCTGACGAAGCTTACGAGCACGTCTCCGACGAATACGCAAGCGCTCTTGTTCCGCGGCAGCTTGTGGGTCCAACAATTCTGAAGGCGCATCAACCAAATGAAGCAGGTTGAAGGCTTCCTACGGTGGATGGGAGAAAATGTTTAGCTGACATAGGAGAACCATGCGTTGAAGAGAAAGCTAAGCAAAGAGGTGATTTCTCCAGGCCTCTTCAAAAGATACTGATGACGTCTACTCGTAGATAACAAGAGTCACGAAGTATGAACAGACACTTCTTCGGGCTGTGTCTTCCTACCGGTCTTCGAAGGCCATTCTAACCTTAATCCACAGTCCAATCGTACACGCTAAAAGCATTATACATTTTTCGTTCATTGCTAAATGGACTGTTCTTGTCTCCTAGTCGGTCCGCCGAACTGTTCGGCGAACAGACGAACAATCAGGCGGTGCACCCGAGTTACCAATATGGTGCAAAATCGCCATGCGCTGTTCCGTTTTCGAAATAACGCATTCAACAAGACAAGTGGTCCCAAACATGCATCTACTTCCGTGCACAGTTTTCATAAAACTCAATTGCAAATTTACGTAACTAAAATGTCAGCTCATGGTGGCATTGGTCCATCGACACAGGTAATTTACGAAAACACAAAGCACAGTGACTTGGACGAGAACAGGGCGTGCAGTCACTGAACACGCCACTTACAATCCAGGGAGAGGTACTGGAAGTTGTGGAGCGTTTTACGTATCTTGGAAGTTGTATTAGTTCTGATGGTAGTGTGACAGATGAGGTGAATGCACGAATCTGCAAGACTCAGGCTGCGTTTGCTAATTTGAGACACCTATGGCGTCAGAATGGTATATCCCTGAATCCGAAGGGACGTGTGTATCAAGCTACAGTATGGGCTGTCCTGCTGTATGGCTGTAAGACTTGGCCTATTCGAGCAGCGGAACTGAGATGTCTTCAGGTGTTCGACAATCGTTGTCTCAGAACCATAGCTCATGTTGGTTGGTGCCGGTTAGAAAGCGCACTTTCAGTTGTGTAAAGGGTACTTCCATTGAAGAATGTGTCCAGCACCAGAAGCTGCGTTGTTTGGGACATGTGTTGCTTATGCCGAACCATCATTTGCCGAGAGAGTGCGGTTTTCTATGCCCAACTCAGAGTGGCGTAAACAGAGAGGTGGCCAACCCTTGACTTGGTAGAGGAGTATGAAGGAGAAGGGTTTCTCTTCGGAGACTGAGCCAGTAAATGACAACAATAATAAAAGCATTAGTAACAATTAGTAATAATAAAAATCGTTCAGCTGTAACATCCCTTCGATGTCTAGCTGCCATGTCACTCGAAGGAAGCATGAGGGCTGGGATACTGCCAGGTTGCCCAAGCCTAGACAGGAGAAGTCGAGAGGCGGAGGTCGGGTTCGAACCACAGACCTTCCGGTCAGTAAATTCGCGCCTGAAACACTGAGCTATCTCAAGCTGGAGGGCGATCGAGTTTAATTCTTTCACCGCTACTGTTTGCAAAGCTGACGCGAAAAATGTTGGGTGTTAAATGCGTGATGTCATCTCATTAGGAGAGTAGAGTGACGACAAAACGTACCAATTCGGACCGATCAATCGGTCTGTTTTCGTTCGCCTCCAAAAAGGCTTTTTGATGACGTTTTCCATGTAAATGGCTCTTGAGAGAGACTTCAGACACGATCTGAAACAGAAAGATTGCAAGACGCAATATACTACTCACAGGGTTGCTGAAAACTAGTTAACTGTGAGGCTAACATCAGTGGATTGGGGGCATCCATTGAGCTAATGCCCGGTCTCACACGCGGTATGCTCGTCAGTAGCAAGGACAACCCCTATACATTCCGAACCAGTCTCTCCTTCGTTCAGATGATGATACCTGCTGTACCACATGGTTTCGTGACAATGTGGTGAAAACACGTCATCGTAGGTTGACAAAAGACTCAAATAGGCGGAATCAGGGCGGCTTTCGCCAACGTTCGGCACCTCACCGGTGCCTACCTGCCTACCTAACATCCGAAGGAAGCACGAGGAGCCATTGGGATGCCAAGGGTAGGCTCGAAACACGAACCTTTCGGTCAGTAGATTCGCGCATTAATCGCCGAGCCATCTTGAGGTCAGACAGATTGTATGGTAGCAATGTGACCCGAAACACGGCATTTTAATCAAAATATGTAGGAATGCCTCCCATCTGTCTATGCAACAGACACATCACTGAGGTCAGATGGAACATGGGATCAGCAAACATAAATGTTTCTATGATGGACGAGCTAAGCATATCTCACGGCAAACGCTGATTGAGCCATGTGCTTTGAATGTCAACAGATTGCCCGCCACAAAGAACACGTTTTTCCAGGTGTGTCCTGAATGGGAACGACGGTCAATGACATGACAATGATTTACGATTACCGAAACTGGTAGAGTCCATCGGACCGACAGTCGAGCGTCTAGGTGATGACCTCGGGATGCGACATCCCAAAGATTAACGACATTGATGGTCAAAACCCAGATGATCTTGAATCAAAGAATCCGCCTTTAAGGGGCGGCGGTCACCCTCCCACTCCATCACAGCTGTTCAGCAATTAGTTGCGAGGTGAACAAACTGCTCATCAGCTGCTTGTGGTCAAACGTCTTCAAACTGCTAGCCGGGGTTCGAAGGACCCTAGGGTTTCGTGAAATGCGCACTGCTGTTGATAGCCAATAGGGAAGAGACGGCTGTACAGTTCTCCTCGGCTTTTAAATACAGGACGACATCTCGATTGAAAATCTAATAACTGATGGGATCACTGCCTCGAAAAACGGGTGGTCCCATTCCTATTCTCCAAGTTTTCAGTAGTATGTGTGGTGCATGAACTACCGCTGAACAGCGGAACTGAATCGTAAGTTTTAGGTCAGTTAGTCAACAATAAAACGGCGAACCGATTTGGAGGCTTTGTGGGACATCGGTGCATCCACAAATGTTAGGGACACCAAGAACAGTGGGAGCTCAGGTAGAAATGAACGGAGAACTTCAGCTCCCCATGTTAAACTTGAAGACCCAGGAGTTGGAACACTTAAGGAGTTCTTGGCATCACGTTCACAGATCTACAGTCATGGATCAAGGCGACTCGAGAGCGCACGCGAAATTCAGGGAACCGATAGCCGCTAGAAATAAGGTATGAAAGAAGAGCTGGAATAAACAAACTAAAGCGAGAAAATAGTAGATGCAAAGAGAAAAATGAACAGATTTAGGTGAGACACCATTCAGACCGAAATTTCTGTTGTAGGCGGTGGACTGAGAGAGACCACTGAAGAAAGTCAATCGCGTCAGCTGGTGCTTGCATTTGACAAATCAATCAGTTAAGGTAGAAATCTAGCCAACGAGTGTCAACTGAGCTGACGCGGCAACAAAATCGATCTTACCTTAACCTGACAAGCACGACACCACTTTTGAATGGGATACGGCTCTATCCCTGCGGCAGCAAATGACTCTTCTCCCGTATGCGTCAAGACGGACATTTCGAATGCTTTACGGCTGATTTCGCGAAGACTTTCTTGATGACGTCGTTCCGACTCCTCTTGCTGTATGAAGTCAAGAAGGCACGACATATTCGCACAACGAGGACGAAGCAACACAAATTTGAGAACGGTTTTATGTATCAATCGAGCAGTGGGTTTCGAGCGTGCATGTTGCGACTTTATGGCACACTCAATCAATAAAGAACCAGAACGAACTATCAGCCTCAGTAGCAACGAGGACAAAGAATATTCATCGGAATGCATTACGATCGTCTGACTGCGAACCGCCAGACTTCCGGAACTCCCTCACAGGGAGGGATTTGAACAGTCCGGGAAGACAGCGGAACCCAGCTGAGTCTCTCGTTTGTGGTATTTTCAGGAAACTGAATGTGCTGCACCAGGACGCCTCACGTTTCAGTCGCTGCGATATTCGAGATATCGCGATACATGTATATCTTTGTAATGCACTACTCATAAGGTTGCTGGAAATTCGTCGACAGTCCACGACAGGTTTCGCCCTTTTTGGGGCTCATCATGTAGGCGCAGTCCCCGGGTTTCCGTCAACCTTATGTTGTACTTGAAACCAAATTGCACCAAATTAGCGAAATACACTCATTTGCGAACAAATTAGGCTTTGCGAGACACTCATCTGGAACCCAACTGAATCTCTCGTTTGCGATGTTTTAAGGCATATATTTCAGGTATATTCGCTAATTTCATGCAATTTGGTTTCAAGTAGAACATAAGGTTGACGGAAACCCGGGGACTGCACCCACCTGATGAGCCCGAAACGGAAGGGCGAAACCTGTTGTGGGCTGTCGATGGATTTCCAACAACTTTATGAGTAGTACATTAAAAAGATGGGGAATGATTCAGTCAGTATTAGTCAGATACAGAGAAGATTCGACCCGTCTCGATAGTTACGTCACACATCTGTCAGGAAGGTCAAATTCCTGAAAATAATCCCAGAATACTCGAAACCTATTGAGACATCCAAACTTCACTAGAATCGCAGTAGGGAAGCCGTCACGCATCCGGGCCAGCTGCCGATTGGACGCTCAAGCAGTCAGTCGGTTCAGCAACGGCCGACAATGATGAGTGCTCAGTCATGTCAAGGAAGCAAGCAACAGCTGACGACGGTGAGTGCTCAGGCATGTCAAGGAAGCACTCAACAGCCGATGATGATGAGTGTTCGGGAAGTCATAGGAGTAACACCAACCAATCACCCAACGCTGCTCGCATAGCCGGGATTCAAGGTCAAAAGTGCGCTTTAAATACCACGATGTCCCTTGTAATTTTTGCAGTTGCTTGTTCTCAATAGAACTGTCTTTCCCCGACACTAAGGTAGTGGAACGGGGACAGCAGTTAGCTACATCATTTGGTAGGCTTGTGAGGTCACACTCATGGCACACGCCAGGATAAACGCCTACCAAATAGGTCCTCTTGAAGGACGCATACAAGACAGAATTATTTGTGAATTTAGTCTGGGCAATGTATGTATCATTCTCCAGGAGTTCACAGACGCCACCAGCAACTAGCATACACTGCACTTTCTAAGCGGATTTAAACTTACGCAAGATTTGATATGACTAGGTCAAGTCAGCTAGTGCGTACTCCAACTGACCTTGGGCCCAGAGTTGCGTGCTTCTTTTCGCCATGCAAAATGATCCAATTTTTTCATTGACACCAATCCAACAAGGTGAGAAATCACCTTCAACATCGAAAATTACTGAACATCAGATCAACAGCATGCATTGTACATTTGAATAGTGGTCCACCCGAATGGGGAACTTTTCCCCAAGGAGTACTTTCTTCTGTTCCAGTAAACGTCAACACTGAATTGATGGACCAATAACGAACCCTGGTCTCCCAGAGAATTCAGACGATCAAAGTATGAGATGCCAATCGATTTATGGTGGACCAAGATGCTCCAAACTAAATTTTGGCTCCATTGGTTCTCTTCTAAACGCATTCTCGGTGGGTTTGATAAGTAAGGCTTTCGAAAAAGCGCTTGGTCTCATGGTTCACATGTAATCCGACAAACCATGGGGTGTAAGTGGACTCAAATCGTTCAGCTGTAGCACCCTTTCGGTGCCTAGCTGTCATGCCACACGAAGGAGGCACGAGGACTGGGATACTGCCAGGTCGCCCAAGCCTAGACAGGAGAATTGGAGAGGCAGAGTTTGGGGTTCGAACCACGGACCTTACGGTCAGTAAATTCGCGCTCTCTAACCACTTGGTCCATCTCGCCCCAAACGGACTCAAAGGGTAAAGCTAATGAAACGGGCATCCAGTTACGCCCGATTTTACACATGTATAACTCACCGTAACAAAATGCGAGCAAATGGCTACACAGTGCTAGCGAAGTTGCGGAATATAGGAAGTGCGCAGCTTGGTTGTTGGTCTATTTGGCGAGCTTGACAGTCGGATGGTAAACGAGGTAACACCGTCAGTTTGGGGTTGAGTGACTGACGTTTGCGATCCAACTGCTAAGCTCGGCAGATCTGCATCCAGGTGTGGCAGGAATAGTCCAGGTTACTGCGGTCAAACAGGCAGACTAAAGTGCACTTTGTCTGTGGACACTGAATTTTGTTGTGTTTGTACGTTTGTATAAATCAGGGGATAATACAGTCAACCAGTTTGTCTACATTGGCTTGCCAGAGAATTCACACTTAGTGCTTTATCATACTGTCCGAAGACCAACAGTTCTTAATAACCGGACATCACATCGATTGGTCGGAAGGGCCACATGCTGTCTATGAACTAAACGAAGGCGTCCGTTGATTGGTCAAAGCAGCATTCAATGTGGATCATGTATCCACAGCTTGAGGCTTTTCGCCCCTCCAACAAGATCCTAGCATGACCTTGTGGAATATTCTGTGAAAACCCTACAAATCAAGGCTTTGGTGATCATTCTCTATCTCCATAAAGGGCTGCCTCAAGCTATGGTTGCTTTTGATGCACCCTAGTGGGCCGAACAGGAAGCCAAGGGCTGACACAGAAGTTGTATCACCGTCAACAAGGCACTAAAGAACGCGGTTTACGATAAGACAAGTCGACTAGCTCGAAGTGAATGACGAATAACAATTAAACTGTTCACAGACTACGGGAGATACCTCAGAGTAGGTGCTCCAACCAATCAGATTTCGAGAACAAGCTGGGCATTCAGGTTCTTAGTAGCGTTCCATGTTCAATGAGAAGTACAAATAACTGAACAGCTACGGGATCCTCTCGGGACACGGCTGCCGTGAAGAAAGCGTGATGGACGATATACCACTAGGTGGCCCAAGTATCAAAGAAGGAGTCATCGAAAACAAGGGTTGCATCGGACCTTCCGGTCCGTGATTTTGCCATTCAGCTAACTCGAGTTCATCAACCCAATTTGATGCCCAACCGATCATCATATTTCCATTAGAAATAACTGCATCCTAGACTAGAAGGAGTATGAAACCTTGAAAATTGGGGATAATCCATTCACACAGGCAATAGGTAGGAACAAGGATTTTGTCTAACCTCTCGACGGTGCATGGTGTTTCGACAGTGTTTCGGCAGTCAGAATAGAGTGACTACGGTGAACTAAAAATACCAACCTTTCGTTGAATTTTCGTGCGCAGCTGCTCAATGTGCGTACGTTGTTGCTCCTCCAAATTGGCCATTTTCACTTCACGATGTTGCTCTTTGGCTTTGGCCGCGGCGCGTCGGCAGTGCTCCAGATACTCGGCTCTAGAAGCCAATTGTTGCGCACGAATCTCCCAACGGGCTTGAAGTGCATCTAGCCTGGCTCGGCGTGAGGCCTCCAGTGCTCTCCGACGACCCTAAGTGAGTGGGAAAAGAAGGCAGAATGGGAGATAACCTGTAAAAATATCAGTGACAGCAAAATAGGTGATTCACTTATGCAGATAGTACGCAACAACGTATTCGAGTTGCCCGCAGCTCCGAAAATGGACCACGAGAATCGAATAAACACAACGACAGAACCCGGAAGGGAAACCGTTGGTCTTTTCAGTGAACTAGGAAATTAGGTTGCAAAGACTTCAACACCAATAAGGACGAAATACGAAAAGTTACTTCGAAATTTCGAAGATTCACTTGTAAAACTTTTCCCGCAACGAAAGTTTCAGTCCACGAGGGCTACCTGGAATCCGAACAAGCTCCCGGTCGCAAACCCCGGGGTCCATTTCCAAGCGATACTCAGAATTATTCGTGCGGCTGCCGACCTTCGTACTCACCGTTCAGCTGTGGCACCCTTTCGGTGCCTAGCTGCCATGCCACCAGAAGGAAGCACGAGGGAAGGGATACCGCCAGGTAGCATATGTCTAGACGGGAGAAGCCGAGAAGCTGGTTGTTGATCAGGTGGCTGTTGATCTGTTCGCAGAGCTTTGAAAACATTCATCATCAGTGCGCAGTAGGGTGGGTACTTCTTCCTTACCCGCGTGCGTTTAAATAGCATTTGAAGACTGTCTGTTGTCTTATGCCGTGAGTAGCTACTTGGGGGAAGGGGGGAATGATTTTCGTGAATCTATTGGCCCGCTTGTAATCCTTGTTCCGTTGTGGTCTGCGTTCATCTGTGCCGAACGGTCATCCCAACACCTTCTATTTTTAGTAGTTTGTTCTCTGGCCTTGATTAGCATTGCATTGTGGTCTGACATTCTTGAGCTTGATTGGTCTAATTTTTCCACTGTAACGGTTAGTGTCCCTGCGTCCGCCGGTTAATTCGGTGCTATGGTTGGGAGCCTCCTCCAATTGATGTGCACGTTTAAATGGGTTCCTCGTCTGGTTACTTTTATAGCTCAAAGCTCTGTGGTTCTGGCGTTCTCTCGCTCTTAGTGGTTGGTAAATGAGATCAATTTCGATAGGTTTGTTGATAGGTTCTTCAGTGGAGTACCACGCTTCCATAAACTCGCGTTCTTCTTTCGTTCTTGTTTGAGCCAGTATGCGAACACCGCTCCTGTTAATTGGTGTTGATTACCTAACACGGAAAATACCTGGTGGTGATTGCTCATGTGAACCATTGGCTACCAGCAGCTATTTGTTCTATTTGTTTAACTACCCATGAGTAGCACGAATTACGCCTGTTCACCGATTTGTATCAAATTTACCCTGTGCGGGCTTTCCAAACAATTTCATTTACTTCCTAACGTACTGGCTGTCTTCGGCGCCATTATTGATGCATACGGTCTAGTTACGCTGTCTGACTTCCCAGATCTAAAGCTCGACTGCCACAGTTTTGTATCTCCTGCCGACTGCATTATTGTTGATTGTACTTTCTACTTCATTCATGAAGTTTCGTAATCCATTTGTTTGTAGAAACAGTTCCCGATTCAGCATATACTGTCCTCATTCATCTGTTCCTACTGCCTACTGAATACAAACTGCGTATAGTTCAACCGTCGTGTAAGATTCTCAGCCACTCGGATCTGGTATTCATCATCGATGATCACATTTTCCCCCGCCGTTTCAGCGGTTTGCGGGCAAGCGTCAGCGCTCGGCACTTTCGAACCATCAGACTTTCAGTTATCCTCGCATACCAGCTGAACCAAATAGCGCTGAACCTAGAGTGGTTTAAGACCGTCGACGGCGGTGGTAAGACTGACATTTCCAGAGGAAGGTGATAAAAAAGACCGGTCTGATTGTCGAGTTTGACGCTTCCCTGAGCTTCATATTCAAGGCCTTACTGTAGAATGGTAATCAGCTATGAATCTCAAACAGCAAGAAACACCACAAACGAGAGATTCAGCTGGGTCCCAGGTGAATCACCCGCAAAACCAAACTGGTTTGCAAATCAGTGTATTTCACTGAAATGAGTCTAGCTTCAGAAACACTTGGCTAGCATGATGTGCGAAGGGCCTTCCCGGAAGTCTCCACGTCGGTTTGTTGATTTTCCTGCATTGAATCGAAGTGGAAAACTACACTGTCGGGTAGGAATCTCATGTATACGGATATGCCTGAAAAAGCATAAATTCTAAACACGAGACCGCGTAACAAATCAACAGCACATGAGGAGCAAGATGACAAATGCGAAGTAAACATTCAAACACAGCAACACAAAGAAGGCTGTCCAGGGGAGCACGCACGTCACCACATGCTCCATCAAGTAGGACGGTTATACGGATTGGCTGACCGACTTGTTTTCTGATTGGCTGATATCCAACGCGAATAAACAAGATTTCCAAAATATCGGATCATTTCTCCGCACTGCGTCAGCACGAATGGAAGACACACTGAGGGATCTCAACATTTCCCCCTACTGTTTTCAGTCAGTGAAACGTAGGAACGTGTAGGATATATAGGAGAATGTGACATCAGTGTTTAACACCGATGCTTCACTGCCGTACAAACGCAACGTGGTTGGTTCAGTCAAGCGCTAAGAAAGATAACTGTTTCAATATCAATTTTGGAGATTCCGTAACTGCAAAATAACTACCATGCCACCCGAAGGAAGTACGAAGACTGGGATACTGCCAGGTCGCCGAAGCCTAGACAGGGGAAGTCGAAACGGATAGGTAGGATAGGAACCGTGGACCTTCCGGTCAGTAAATTCGCGATCTAACCATGCAGCCATCTGGCACCTGAGATAGATATACAAATCTCATTTCAGCATCCTGAATCGATGGCTTTAGAGGACTAATGGCACGGTGGAATTCAGTGAAACGCTCCGGACAGACCATACCATTTTTGAAAAACTCCGTCTTTTTATTCGTTCAGCCCTACTGAAACAGACGGAGTTTTGACCAGACGGAGTTTGTAAGCCATCAGCGTACGGTTTGAAAAATGTGACCGAGGGAACTAATGAAATCTCCCATACAAAAATGACTGACCGCGCATCAACCAAGCACTGATCTAACTAGCCAGAAAATAGTTGGACCAACTAGGGGAAATGCTCATCTCAACTAACAGCTTAGAGAAACTGGCACGCACTCACTGATGACGTCCCCTGGAATAGTGATGAAAGGTTTGCGAGTAATACGAGACCAGGTGGAAATATGGACTCGATTGGAAGACGTTCGGTTGGTCAACTAACCTTCGCAGCCTCTTCACGACCAAGTTTCTCTTCCAAACGGCGTCGCCGCTCAGCGGCCAGCTCATCCAACCGAGCCCGACTTTCCTCATGCTTGGTCAAAATACTGTGTTGTTTTTGTTCGGCCTCAAGAGTCTGTGGGGAGAGAAAAAGCACGAGGATATATCGATCCTAGGTCAGGTGATGAAATACATTTACAAACACAAAGCGGTAGAAGTCACAGAGGCCAATTCGGACATCAACAACTACACGTCGATGATGTGTGAAGTACAGTCCCAGTGAACTGGAACAGGCGACCAACAGCATTGGGAGAGAGAAGGCGGTAAACACATGTTTGTTTGATGTAACCATGAGTAGTATTCGAAGAGTAAGTTACCATTAAACAGCAAAATACACTCATTTGCGAGAGAACCAGCTGGAATCCAGCTGAACCTCTCGTTTATGTTGTTTCTAAGACTCTTGAAAAACCAAACTGACTTGCAAATGAACGTATTTCTCGAAAACAGTCCAAATTGGGTTCAAGTAGAACACAAGATTGACGGAAACTCAGGGACTGCGCCTACCTCATGAGCCCTAAGAAGGGCGAAACCGGTCGTGGGCTGTCGATGAATTTTCAGTAACCTTATGAGTAGTGCACTACAAAAATATATATGTATTCCGATATCTCGAATATCGCAGTGGCTGAAACATGGGGCCTGGAAACATCCAAACCGAGAGATTCAGCTGGGTTCCAGGTGAGTCTC